GAGATAAGATATGTGTCCACTTCCCTTTTTTGTGTATTTGTGTACTGTAGATTTTAAATTTAAGATAAAAACTGTTATTTACAGTGAAACAATAAAATGAATTTTTTACTTTCAAAAAATAAAAAAGAAGTTTTATAAATTTGAGTATTTTATGGAAGATTTAAAGCAAATTTCTGGCTAATTCTAATATAATTGATTTTGACACAGAGCATATTTAAAACAAAATCTAGTTTTGTTCTTTGATTCAAATGTTTTTCAATATAATAATATAAATATATTTAAAAGAAACTGGTACTAAATTTTGCTAAAGAAATTTTTAAAAATACAGTTTCTGAAAGTTTGAAACATGAAAAGAGAGATACAAATGAATGCTATGAACTGTTGATTTAAGATTTAAAAAAATAAAACATCAAATTCAGTTAGACCGGAAACAGCAAACTTGTTCATAGCTGTCAATAAAAATTAGTGGCAAACTCTTGCCATATTTGCAAAATTCAACACATTGAAGCCTACCAAGTTAACTGAAAACATGAAGTAAAGATAAAGTATGAAGCATCATTAATTTTCGTTAATTTTAAAATCACTCTTATGTTACGTGTGTTAACTCATTAATTTTAAAATTATATTTACATTTTTAAGATTTAACATACACCAGTAAATGCATACTGTAATACTTATACATAATTATTTTAAGATTATACAAACTATAGATATATCATTGTTTTTAAAAGAATTCTAACCAGATTTCTAAATGATTGTTTTTAAAAGAATTCCAACCAGTTGATTTCATATTGTATACATGAAAGTATATACAACGTGTCCACTTAAGTCCTTACCTTTGTTATCAAAACCGGTGGTTGTAGACAGTACTTTCATGCATAAAAATGTATAAAACTCTGTAAAAAATTGATATTTTGGGATTATTAAATTTAACCCTTTGTGGCACAGTGTGCCTGGTCTGAGAATATCTAAAAATTTCCTTCTGTAGACACAGAAAAACTGAATGAAAAAGGATTTGAAGGTTACTATAGGTAACGCTGAACCTTCTTTATTTATAGTAGATGGCAGCTCAACACAAACCAGTCCATACATTTTAGCCATGTTTAGTTTTTTAAGATCCTCATTTTTCAAAGAAAACTTCCAGATTTTTTTTTAGGTTATAAAATTAATTGTTTGAATTTAAATTTCTATGTTGTTTTTTTGGCTGTATGCTAATCTCCTTATTCTATATTAGTTTTAAATTTTTATCATGAAATCTTGCTTAAAATTGAACGGCCAACCGAGGTGTTCCCAGATTGGGCTCACTGCGAGTCTAGGTCACTGAGGGGCAGCTGTATCTTTGTTTCTCGGCCGCTCATTGGTCAGCTCATTTACATAGAAAGGTGGGTCTACATCTGTGTTTCATTTCCTGTTTTTCTCTTTCTTCTTTCTTCCCTTTTTTTTGAGGGGAGGTTTGGTTATCAACTAAGAAATTGTTGGTGTGATTTCCTGAAGGTCAGGGATAATTTTATCAGTTAGCTGTTTAGTTTATCACTAGAGCAGTTCTCTTTTTCTCTTTCACTTTGGTTCAAAGAAGTTTTCTTGGCGCTACGTTTAATAGTTTTGTGTTGTAGACATTTATATTTTTATTTTATAGCTTATCATTTCAAATTGTAGATATAATATTAGTTTATTTTTTTGGATTTTTAATTATTTTTCAAACGGATTTTAGAAAGCTGACTATTTCTAAAGCACTGAAAGAGCTACACGAATTGCTTTCAGATAGTGAATCTGATACGAATCCCAGCACATCTGCAAAACATGCAATATTGGGTTGTGCTTTTTTAAAGGTGGTGTCACTTTCTTCGAAAAGTACCACGATGCAAAAATAGACTAAAGTGTAAATATGAAATGTAAATATTATATACCCAAGTTACTTTTTCACCCCCATTCATAAGCATGTAATCATCATATTACCAAAAATGAGCTTTTTAGGGGGGGCGATGTAGAGTAGAAACACTATAATGCTAAATCTGCTATGGTATATTTGTATTAATTGACAAATATATTTTATTTTAAAGCTTGAGATGAAATTCAGGAACCATTTATAAATTGAAGTGCTAATTGTTTGCATTTATATGTAACTAAAAATGAAATATCAGTTAAGAAAAAAGTTTTTGATAGTAATAGATTAAGTAATGAGCATTTATGTGTACATTTATTTGAAAAGTATTGATCAACATTTTTTTTTAAGAAAGATCGTATTCACAGAATCTTATAATCCCCATGGTATACCTTGGGTAATGCTAAATCTGCTATGGTATTCAGAATCTAGTGTTTTTTAATCATAGGCAAAATCTCGTACTTTTTTATGCACTTTCCAGCAATGCTCGTTTTAGCAGCTCTATTCAATCAGTTTGCCCGTTTTGGGCACACCACATAATTAAAACGCTAAGTGCTATCTTTACAAAATTTTACTTGTGTACTCCTCTAGGCCTAATTAGACTGCCTACCTTTTTTTAAATCGAAATTCCAATTTCAAAAGGTAGCGTGCCGGAAAGGGTTAAATAAATCAATTTTGCAAAGATTGTGATATATATACAAATATAGACACACACATGTCTTTTTGACCCCCCGGCCCCCAAAAAAGTACAGGACATAGCCTCTACTCTTTGCCTTTTTAATATTATTTTACGCAAGTATACTAAGTATATCTGTTACAACAACATTATGTATTGAATTGTGAAGATTCTAAATAGTCACGTTGGTTCTTTATCAAAGACTCATATTTGTTCAGTCTCTGATTGATCATGAAATAAATTTAACTGATGATCTTAACTAGGGCATCCAGAAAAGTAAATAAGTCTTATGCTATGAGCATCCAGAAGAGTTAAGGCAGTGCTTATTTTCAGATTAGGTAATGTTTCTCGAGAAACATAGTATTTGATTATATAATATGACAAAGAGAAGCTGGACTAAATTCTGCAAATTTCAGTGAAGTTTCTAGAGTTGTTTTAGAAAAAGTTGATTCTCAGACCCCAAAATTCTTTATATTCTAACTATAAAAAAAGGTTTTTTTTTTTTTTTTTTAGTTTAATAAGCATTTGCTTTTACTAATTTTTCACTGTGTCTGCAAAATTCCTTATGCATCCTTTATTTTTGCAATTGTTGGGTGTAGATATACATTTCCAGTTAAAAAAGATGTTTTAAATGACACAAATATTTATGCTTTGGCACTTTTAAATTTAAAAAAAAATCCAATGTTGTAAATATGAAATCTAACTTTATTCCTAGTCCCTATAGATGCATTTAGGAAAACTATATAGCCACTTTAAAAAGTACAATTGCCACATGGCAAAAGTTGACAAATATATTTTATTTTAAAGCTTGAGATGAAATTCAGGAACCATTTATAAATTGAAGTGCTAATTGTTTGCATTTATATGCAACTAAAAATGAAATATCAGTTAAGAAAAAAGTTTTTGATAGTAATAGATTAAGTAATGAGCATTTATGTGTACATTTATTTGAAAAGTATTGATCAACATTTTTTTTAAGAAAGATCGTATTCACAGAATCTTAAAATTTGTGTTCTAGAAACTGCTTTCAGTTTCCAGTATTAACACATAGCCAACCCACAGTATTATCTGCATAACTGAAAAAAATTCTAATGTTTCCTATGATTGTTATGAAATTTTTTCTGACATGGCAGCTGTAATAAAATTATAAACCAAAGGATGTATACTCGTAAATCACAAATGAATGTCATTGAATGACATTTAAGGAGGAAAAAGGTACTTTTCTGTTAATGGGGTGCTACTTGCCAAATATGTGGCAAATGCGGTGCCTACGTAAATTAAGTCGCAAGCACAGTTTTGTTCTCCCCATGTATACAGTGATCTCTTTTTGTTAAAAAAAAAAGAAAGAAATCGGAGAATTGCATAAATTTGTCATGTATGTAACAATATTAAATGCATATAATATTCTTTTCATGAATATGTATCATTAGAGTTGCTACTACTTAGATTTTGCAGCATTTATGTTTGGTGCCAAGTGGTGACATGTTAACCGAAATGTACCAAAAAAAAAATCAGCCTCGTAGTTCTGATTTATCACCCAACCTCTCAAGCCAAGTCTAAAGTGACATAAATCCGAAATTTTGGAATTTAATATCTTGGCTAGTTTTTATCATATGCGAGTTAAACTTTTTTGTTTTATTTTTATAATGAGTTTAAAATTTTCTAATTGTAACTGTAGAGACCATGTAAAGTATTAGACATTGAAAATTTTAGAAAATTTATATTGAAAATTTTAGAAAATTTATATTAAAAATTTTTTGATTGAAACGTGAATGTTTGCATCATTTAAAACTTTTTTTTTTTTTTTTTTTTAAATGGGTGTGTGTTTGCGATCAATGGCTGTGAAAATAAAGACTGTTTAAGGACTTACGGGGAAGCAGTGTTTAACATTTGGTTTTTGTTATTTCAAAGTGTGGTATTTAAATGTACGTACATTATTTTTCCTGTAGAATACTTTTAACTTATCAAGCCCTTATGAGAATGTATTATAAATCTATTTTACTTCTATATGTAAATAAGAACAGGGTAGTCTTTTATCTAAGGCTGTTTTATATTCAGGCCATTGTTGATAACAGACTACTCAGAAGTTGCTGTTTTGCTGAGATTTCAACCAGGATAAAACTTATGATGGATTTTAAGATATTAAAATAGATTTGGCCATTAGTGTGCTAATGTTTATGTTGCAGGGAAATTTTACAAAATGTTGATTTCATGAAAAAAAATATTTTTTTTAAATATATCACATAGATACAAAATGCAACTAGCAACAATTTTAATTTACAATATGCCAAAGCTTTAGCCTCTCATATATTTGTAGCCAGTCTGAAAACTGCCTGCCTTGAAACTTCATTTTAGATGGAATTTTATATTTTTAATTGGAATAAAGTTATGGTTTTAAATATGCTTAAAACAGCTTGTAATTATTGTCTTCCAAACATGTAGAAAACTTGGACAAAAAGATATTGTGCTCTATATAACGCTAGCCATCATGGAATTCAGAGATTAGAGTTATTTGAGAGTGAAGATGCTTATGTAAAGCAAAATCCAACAAAAATCATACCTCTGACAGACTGCTGGAAAGTTACTGCTGCACCACAGAAACATCAACCTAATGTTTTTGAGGTATATATTTTTATTTATATAATTTTTTTTAATAAAAAGTTTTTTTATTCATTTTAAAGGTTGATAGCTTCTAAATCCTTTACAATTATCTCTTTGAAATACAGTCAAAAGTCTTTAATCCGGAATGATCTATAATCCAGACCTCTCTGCGCATGTGTGTGCATATGCATTTACGCATGCGCATAATACGTTTATGCATGCACGTTTAATGTATAACGGACAGTGTAAGCTAAGCTAAAATTATCTAATTATCTATTTCAGTTAATGTTGCAGATTGCGTTGTTCCTTGATCTTCTAATTGGATCCGGCGTATTATTTTTTGCAGAGCAATTTTATAAAAGTAAGCTTGAACTTTCGATTATGTCAAAAAGAATTTCCGATTCTGGAGCTGCCAAAGGATCTACAAAGTGAAAGCATGTTTCGATGTCCGTCAAATAGAAAAAGTCCGATATATATTGCTACTAATCTGTAAATGGATTTACAGAGCGCATATCCTTTGTTCTCTAATCATTCCGAAATCTGTTTATCAATTTCACGCTGCTCTGTGGCGGTGTGGGGTGGGGGAACGTAGCGCAGCGCAATGAATTGGAAGTTGATCTGTCAGCACTATCCCTATCTTCAGGGGCAGATATTTTTATTTTATTCGTCTTATAATTCCTTTACTAAATGTAGTATTTCATCTCGATATACTCCGTCTTTGATGTGATTTAAATCAAGTTCCTCATCATTATAATTTGCTTCACGATAGTGAAGAACAGTCAACAGATAGGTTTATCTGAAAACGAAATTTCTAATTTCGACTATGCGTACTGTATGCTTTACGCATACGCGCGTTGAAAGAAATGTTTAATAAAGTAAACAAATAAATATTAAGCTTTTTTTTGTAAATTTTGATACCCTTTAGATCATAATTGCTCTTTATTTCATAAATTACGGTTTCATATTTTTAATTTTATAATTTCTGCATGCCGTCTTACCAGATTTAAATTGATGATCTATAATCCATAATCGCCAAAGTCCCGACAAGTCCGGATTAAAGACTTTTGACTGTACTGTATATTCAGTATGTTTGAATGAGTGCCCAGACGGTATAGTGGTTAGGGGAGCCTAACTGTGATACTGAATCCCAGAGAAGCCATGGATGTAAATTGACTGTCCCTTCATAGGCGGTAGTGGTAGCCGCCTATTAGGTACCTCCACAATAAAACGGTCATCACGTCTAGCCTTAAATGTGGCCAGTGTCAGAAAAAAAAAGACAAAGTGCCTGTCTTTCGGGGGGGGGGGAGTTTGAATAAGTTAACTTGGACCTTTTCCATTTTAAGGTAATACATGTCTAAGTTTTTTCCAGAAATATGACAAATGTGCCAATTTAATACATCCAGAAAAAAACATACTTTTATCAGGAGTGCATGCACATGAATCTTAATTATTAAAAGAAGTATGCATACATGAAATAAAAAAATAATAAAGATAAATCAGCAATAAATATATACAGATATGTACAGTTCTTGCAGTAGCACCAGATGTCTGAAGTGGAGATAGAAAATACTAAGTCCGTGGTCACGTGAGGGGTTACCCTCCCTGCTGTGGCTTCAATGAATGCTGCTTGATACTGACAGTTTAAGTAGGATGATTGTCATCTGTATTTAGTAAGAATGCAGCAAAACGACGTAGATATTGGTCCTCTGCAAGGATATCGTAATTAAAGGTCTGAAAAATGTTTTAAGTGGCTAAAATCAAAAGCTTTCTGGAAGAAGTTTTCATTGCTCTTATGCAGAAAATCTTTTTAAGTATCGATACGAAGATCGCTGTGTAACACAGAGTTCCTTACATAGTAGGGAGCGTTTGTTGCAATTCTCAAAAATTTATTTTGAACAATTTGAAGTTTGTTAATGTTAGCTAGCAGGTTTGGCCTCAGTCGGTGCAGGTGATGCATACGTGATGATGTGTCTCGCAGCAGTCAGGTGAATAAGTCGCTTCTTATTTAGGTCAAGATTAGAATATTTTCCCAAGATGGGAAGGAGACAGTTTATGACTTTCAGGGCTTGATTCTGGATGTTGTTGATATGTGGAGTCCAAGTGAGCTTATCGTTAATAGTGACGCCGAGGTATTTAGCCTGACGTACTATAGAAACTGTTTTGTTGAACAGTAGCAGGTTATTATTTATAGGGCGGTTTCGCTTTCTTCTTTTGATAAGTAAAAGTTGCGATTTATTAGCATTAATTTTAGTTATCCATTTGCAACACCAGTCTTCGATGTGCAGAGTGAAGTTCTGCAGAATTTTGATTGCATGATTGAAGTTAGCAGATTTCACTGCAATTGCCGTGTGATCTGCATAGCAGGCCAGGATGGAGTTTGAAGAGTTGATTTGGGGAAAATCTGCACCATAGAAGATATACATATCAGGACCTAAAACACTGTGGAATGCCACTTCTGATTTTTCTTTCAGTGGAAAAAGCATCGTTAATGCAGACTTTAAAAGTCCTCTGTGTGATGAAAGAGTAGAGAATGTGGAGGAGTTCAGGTACAAAGTTGAAACTCATAAGCTTGATAATTAGTCCCTCATGCCAGATGTGGTCGAAGGCTTTCGCCACGTCTAACATGAGGATAGCCACATTTAACCTGTTATGCAGAGCCAAGCCTGCGAATTCCATGATACGAACCAATTGCTTCGTAGTAGATAGTTTTCTTCTGAAGCCGAATTGCTTTGGAGGAAGTGCATTAAGGTGGTGTTGAATTCTTGAGAGTATAATTCGTTCAGAAATTTTGCTGAGAACCGGGAGAAGGCTAATTGGCCTGTATCCATCTGTTTTGGTATGATTTTTTCCCGGCTTCAGTATCATGACAATCTTTGCAGTCTTCCATGTGGTAGGAAAGTAGCAGTTTGTCAGTGCTGCGTTAAAAATACTAGTAATTTTGCATATAATGTTGTGTGGGAGTAACTTAATGGATTTGTTCGTTATCCCGTCAATTCCTGGTGCTTTCCAATTATCACTGAGCTGGATTCGAACCATCGATGTGAGGGTCTGTAGATAGTAGCGTAATACCACTGTCCTAGTCCTGGTTGGCTTGAACATTTACTGTAATGGACTTTATACAGTTTTGTCAAATCCTTTTCAATTTATGCTGTTACGTATTTAAATGTGTATAATATTGCACAGGTACCAAACTTTCTTAACCTGTAATTTACAAACTAAACATAATTTTCTAGAACTTTGGTAACCTAATCGTGATACACTGAGTACACACATACAGTCATAAAATATGTATTTGAAACTTAACCATTTTTAGATGTATGTGTGATTGCAATTATCTTATACTTGCATAATGTCATCAGTTCGAAGCTTCAGTTATTATTGATAAATATTTCATGTTTGCATGGATTTTCTAAATTGAATTTTTGTAAATGTGAGGAAATATTCACTCTCGAGGATCAGATAACTGGTTATATAATTTTTTTTTTTGCTTTCTCTGTATTGTGTTTTTAATATACAGAGAAAGTATTCTGTATATTAAAATATATTTTAATATACAGAAAAATATATTATCTGAGGGTTCTTAAAATATTTTAATGGCCATTAAATATCATTGCAGGTGAGGACCAAAAATAGTAGTTATCAATTTTCAGCTGATACTTTTCAAGAAATGTCTGATTGGCTTGCATCTCTTCAAACTGTTGCATTTGGTAAAATTCGTACCAAATCAGTAATGTCTGTTGCACCAATTATTAAAGAAGAAAAACAAGAGGAAAATTTATTGTATAGCTCTATGGATGAACGTAAGTATGATAAGTAGTTTTATGAATGAATTTATGAAGTCTTATAAAATATTGAAATTATAATGTATATATGAACTAGGCATATATAATTTTAAGAAGTTACACTTCCCATCTCTAGAGGAGGGATACAGAGCTTTGGAGAAAAACCTGCCAAATACAAAATGGAAATATGTGTGAAAAATATAACATGTATATTATAGTGAAGCAGTAGGTGCATATTGTGCCATCTGTGATTGTAAGGGCAGAAATGTTCTAAATTCATGTAATACTAGAAGACATTAGATGTGATTCTTGAACATCCGTGCAAGTAATTGGGGGAGGACTCTTATATGTCATTGTTGGCTAATATTTTCGTAAGCGACATGTAGTCCGAGCCAGTGTGGCAGGTGTTCTCACCAGAACTGATATTTTCATTTTTTCTCCATGTTATTTTTCTCTTTTCTTTATGAGTGGAAACTATAAAATAAAAATTCTATACAGCTGATGTACTCATGGATATAATCTGGAAGGAAAGTATGGATAAACCTGTTGGAAAAAGGCAAAAAGATCTTTAGAAATATGTGACAGAAAGGCAACAATTTGGATATTTTTTAAATGAAACTGGTATGTCTTCTGTCAGTATGGAATACACTAATCAAATTAAATGGTAATATTGTATGTTAATGTATGGTCATCTGAGCACAGTGATAATAAGTAATACTGCATTGGATATGATACATAGTGCTCTTTCTATTTCTGTACTGAAATGTATATTGCTTGGCTGTTGTCTTCATTATTTCTGTTTTGTATTGGAAAAGTGTTCCTGTGGGACTCTGCATAACAGGAATTGCGTATGTTAAAAATAATGTATGTGTACTGAGTAGTTAAAGCTTAATGAATACTATTCTAATACTGTGTTACTCTACTTTTCACATGTAAAATGGCTATAGCCCATTGTGGTATGGATTCTGCAAGTTCATGGTAACTGTCTGGAAATATATTGTACTGGATTTGCAGGCAGACAAAGTAGTATTTATGACAGTAGTATTTTATGACATTCCAATATGCTTAGTAGTATTAATATCCATCAAGTTAGCAGGCCAGGACATAATTGCAATCCACAAGTAGTCCATTCCTGGTTTAGAAGACATTGAAAAGATTTAGCTGGTCAGCAATGGAGTTCATATAGTCTACAGCTGTTTAGATGCATCCTACAACAATCACTGGTCCCAACCTTGCTTGTGAGAACTTCCTGCAGTGTGTAACACCTTTGTCCTATTATATCGTGCAATGTGTGACAATCAACTGGTTTTCTGGAGATGGTGTACCCCAACATGGAAATTAGTGTGATGGAAAAAAAAACTGATTTATTTAGCTAGACAACTTTTTCCTGTTGGGGCATGGATGTATTCATAAATCTATGTGTTGCTGATCTAACAGGCATGTGAAAATACACCCAATTAGCTATGCCATTTTTGGAGATGCATGTTTCTGGCTGTCTCAGTCTCTCATATAAGTTGCTTAGATGAAGTCTTTTGTATTACATGCTCATGGACATAACAAAATGATGCCTTAGTATCTTTAGCAGCCATTAAATGACATTTCTGTTTTACCATATGTTATTTACAACATTCTGATAACTGTATTCTCACAGTGTAAGAGAAGGCATAATGTTCTGACTCATCATATACTTCTAAAGTAATGGATCTTAAAAGAATCTAGTATCATTTCAAGATGCCATATGCTCAGAAAATCCCATTTATAAAACTATTAGTCTTAAGATTAACATTAAATAATGCTTCCTTTCAAATACCATCAGTGAAATGCTTTGGACATTTTACTTTTCGTAATCTGATTTCATTTCTTCGTTAGATCTAGAAATTTTCTGTTAATTTTAAAAATGCAGTTTCTAAAAATGTGCTAGCATGGTCTGCCATCCAGGCATATTCGGCTCACATGTTGTGACTCAGATATGTATATCTTCTATGTTATTGATGTATATTCAATATTTCTGCTGGAGTTTAATAATTTAAGAACACTGATATTATTGTCTTGCCTCTTCATAAAATGTTTGATGTTTTGCTCATAAGTATTTTCAAATTTCTTGAAATGGGAGTGATTAAAATGTGAGAACATGTAGTATAAAGCTTGAAATCCAGAATCATCAGAACTTCAGTGTTTCTGCATTTCAGAAACTTCAGGATTTTAGATTATGAATTTAAATTAACAAGCTGTCAATTGGAAATCATAAAATTAAAAATATGAAATAGCTGTTTACGAAATATAAAATTTATGACTTAATAAAAGTTCAATATTTGTTTATTTTATTAAACATTTCATTCAGTGTCAGTTGTTTAAGCTTTTTTTTTTTATCCTGATACCTATTCAAAGCAGTCTAATAGTCTTTTTGAAACAAGCTAAATTAGGACAAGCAAACGTTGTTTCGTGAAGTTAAGACTCGGAACTCGTCCTGAGGAGTAATCTCTGAAATAGACTTGCTGTCAGTAACTGAAGAGGAATTTGTTAGAGTTGGCAGATCAAAACGTGTGAAGTGCTTGTAGGATCAAAATACAGAAAGACGGTCAACTTATTCCCACTAAACATGTCATACTTACTTTCAAGTCTCCTAACCTGCCTAAAAACATCAAAGCTGGATACCTAAACTGTTCGGTCAGGCCGTATGCCGTATATACCGAATCCAATGCGTTGCTTCCAATGTCAGTGCTTTGGACACCTCTTGTCACGGTAGACTCACGTGTGCTCGATGTTCCATCGTAGGCCGTGCCAGTGAAGGCTGCTCTGCTGCTCCCTTATGTATAAATTGTAAAGGCAAGCACCCAGCTTTTTCAAGATCATGTCCGTAATGGCAGACAGAAAAACAAATTCAAAACATTAAAGTTGCACAAAAAATATCATTTGCAGAAGCCAAAAGACTTGTTCTCTCTAATCAGCCAAGACGTAATAAATCTTATGCATCTGCAACAAAATCATTCAGATCAATATCAACACAAGCCACTATAACCACATAGAAAAAAGAACTAGCAATGACAGAAGATCCTAGAAACCAAAAACCAGGAAAAAACCTGATGTTGAAAGTAGTATGCCGGTGACTGTGACCAAAGGGAAACAGGATGTCCAACAGAACGAACATAGAGATGTTATCAAGGAGAAAAATAAGCAAAAACCCAGGATCATCTGTCAAAGTTCTATTGCAAGTATGAGTTCAGGACGCTCAGACAAAATGGACGTTGAACAAGGGTTATCCCATCCAAAACACCTTTTACCTTGAAAGTAAAAAAAAAAAAAAAGAAAAAGAAAAAAAAACCACCGCCGAAACAAGCATTCATAATGGATACATTTATTTCGTGGAATTGCCGGGGTTTTTGTCAAAACCTGGATAACATCAAGCATTTAATAAACGTGCATCAACCTGCCTGCCTTGCGCTTCAGGAGACCTTGTTAAAACCCAAGCAGACATGCTAAGATACGGAGATATACCATAGTAAGAAAGGACAACCCATCTGGGGATCGTGCCTAGTGTGGTCTGGGCTTTATCGCCTCCCACAGTCGCCCATACAATGCTCTTCCTTTGACGACCTCCATTCAAGCTGTGGCAGTTCAGATTAATTTATGCTTTTCAATCTTGGTATGCACTATATATTTACCCTACATGAGCATGTTGATCAGCGAGAGTTGGACAGAATAATAGAGCAGCACCCAGAAGCTTTTTTGCTTTTAGGTGATTTCAATGCACATAGTACCTTATGGGGAAGTAGGGACACTAATTCAAGGTGTGACAGATCGAACAATTAGTGGAAGATCATTCTGTTTGTCTCCTTAATAATGGAGTATACACCTACTTTCATCAGCCGACTAGAACATTTAATGCAATTGATCTGGGTGTTTTTTTTTTTTTTTTTTTGTTCTCCATCTCTACTACCTTTTTGCTCTTAGAGGATAATCTCTACGATAGTAACCATTTCCCAGTAATTGTAAATATTACAGGAAAATCAGTGATCTCGAGACAACCACGCTTACTTTACAATAAAAGCTGATTGGGATCTTTTGCATCTTGTGCTGTGCTGACTGAAGAAATGGTTAACAATGTGGACATTAATGCAGCAGTAAAAATGATCTCTGATACTATTATACAAGCAGCTGAACTCTGTATTCTGAAGTCCTCGACAAAGTTCCGTAAACCCTGGTGGAACAGTGATTGTGATGAAACTTCAAGAGAGCAGAAGAAAGCTTGGCGTATCTTTCGCCGATATCCAACCCTGGCAAATCTTCTGGCCTTTATAAAAGTTAAAGTGAATGCAAGAAAAGCGAGACGGCAAAGTCAGAGAAAATCATGGGCAGCTTATATTACCCCCTCAATGTCTAGCAAACAGGTTTGGGAAAGTGTCCGCAAAGCCTCTGGACTATATAATGATTACTCCTTTTTTGTTCCAGAAAAAGATAGAAAGTTGATAAGCACTAGAGAAGAAGTAGCCAATGCTTTAGGTGATACATTTGCTGCTGTGTCTGGCAGTAGCAATTACTCAAAAGAGTTCCTGTCCACAAAGATGTGCTTGGAAAGAATTCAAATCGACTTTTCCCATCCTAATGCAGAATTATAATAAAGATCTCACCAAGTTTTAATTAAGAAGTGTAATACCTCGCAATGATAGGATCTGCCCTTGTCCTGATGGCATAAGTTATTTAATGATAAGGCATCTGCCCTATGAATCTGTAGTGGTTCCTCTCTCTTTATAATGAGATATGGAAGGGAAAAAATTTTTCCAACTGCCTGGTGCAGGGCCTTTGTAATCCCTATAGCAAAACCCGGCAAGGACCTGAAAAATCATTTAAATTATTGCCCCATCGCCCTCACTAGCTGCCTTTGCAAGATCATGGAAAAAATGGTAAATCACTGTCTCGCCTACTATCTGGAGACTAACCATTGCCTATCACCATACCAAAGTGGTTTCCGTAAGGGAAGATCTTCACTTGACAATGCCCTGTTTTTAGAAACCGCAGTACGCAACGCATTTGTGAAAAGAAATCATGTGGTTTCAATCTTCTTTGACATGGAAAATGCATAAGATAGAACTTGGTGGCATGGTACTCTTCATGACCTTTACAGCACTGCGTTGCGAGGTAATTTACTAATCTTCATTCAAAACTTTCTGAAGAACCCCGCACTTTCCAAGTTAAGATTGGTTCGTTGCTGTCTCAAGTATTTGTACAGCAAGACCCCAAGGTCCAGTGCTTAGTGTCACTCTTTTCAGCTTGAAAATTAATTCCATTTTAAGAGAACTTCCTCCCTCAGTGCATGGTTCCGTGTATGTTCATGATTTGATGATCTATTGTCACAGTCAAAATATGAGATACATTGAGAGACAATTACAAATTGCTCTAAACAGAATCATAAAGTGGTCCAACAACAGTGGTTTTAAATTTTCTAGCCAGAAGACCGTCTGTGTACATTTCTGTCATAAAAGAAATCCACGTCCTGATCCAGAGCTGCATCTTAAAAGCTCTTTGATCCGCGTTGAGGCAGAAGCAAAATTCTTAGGAGTTATAGTTGACATAAAGTTCACTTACGTTTCACATACTTTAATCTAAAGAAAAAATGTGCTAAAGCTCTCAGCATACTGAAAGTCCTGGCCAATACTTCATGGGGAGCAGAACGTTGTTCTATGCTCCGCATTTATAGAGCTTTAATCCGTTCCAAACTTGACTATGGCTGTGTTATTATGGATAAGAAAGACCTGTGTTCCTGAAAATGGATCCAGTCCACCACCAAGTGCTACAGATTTTCTGTGGGGCTTTCGAAATATCTCCAGTCCAAAGTTTGTATGTCATCTGTTTTGAACCATCTCTGGAATTCGGACGCAAGCAGTTTGTCCATTGATCTTCATTATAAAGTAATGTCACAAGCCGAACATCCTGTCCGACTCATGACATCTGATCAGTACTGGCATATCTACCAAGCATGTCCTTCATGATCTCACCTTTTGATCTTCGCATTCATTCACTCGCTCATTCAAAAATTCAACCTAAAAGATCTGCATCCCCTGCATTAACCTTTCCGTCAGTTTTACTCTGGTTAAAAGGAAGACTACTGTAAATGCAAAGGAAAAATTAAAATGTAATTAGAAGAATAATAAGCACAATGAGGGCAATGTGATTTTCTTGCAATGGAATGATGTGCATTTTTAATGCAAAGTCACTGATCATTCGAATGCAATTAAAAAATAGAACTTTCTGGTTATCCGTGTCTGCTAAGAAAATTTGCCAATTGGCAAAAAGCATTTGTTTGGCTGTTTTTGTGGTTTTTAAGTACTGTTTCATTCATAAATAATATTAAAAACACTTTATAAGGAGAAATTTTATGACCGTCTTCAAACCAGTTATCAATATGGTGGCTAATGCTCTGCTTGCAGGTTTTGACTTTGTATTTTGACAAAATTCTGTCATTTTAAGAAGTTCATAAATTAAAAATTTTTGTATTCTTAGGCAAAGCACCAATGCTTTCTTTCTCATCACCATGTAGCTCTACAGTTCCACTGCATTTTATTTCAGGAAAATGCACTGATCAGCCAAATGATGGTTAAATATAAAGCCTGTAAATCCATATGTATGGTGCCTGCATGTGTGGTTGGTTTGTTGTCATATATACACCAAAAATCTGACAAATCTATCAAATTTTGAAACCAGGGCTGTGGATAATCAAAAATTACCAAGAAAAGAGTGCAGGAAAGGACAACCAATATCATAATTACTTAATTGTTTGTTGTTGAGTCTATATTTCATTGAAGAATGGCTGCTAGAACATCAAAGAGGTTGGACTTCTATTTCCACCTCAGTTCTGAGGGAGAGCAACCCCCGGAGCAGTGGTCTAAGGGTCTTCCACCCCACTCCCCTACCACTATACTACATGAGAGGACTTGCGACTCACCATATCTTAAAAGTGCCCCCATTATGCAAAGACACTGTGCATTTACAAATATCCGTATCTTCTCTGGGATTCAAACCCGTTCCCTTCAGTATGGCAGTTAGAGTAATTAACCACTGTCTCTTCTGGGCAGCATTATAATTAATTAAAAATGATATTAAGAATTTATCTGTATTTTTAAAAAGTTTTATCTGGAAAATAAGTTCACTTATGCAAATTAAATCAACTATAAATAATAGGAAAATAAACATCCTTACAAATGAAGTAAGTTATAGATGACTTTAAGGAATAATAATTTACTAGAGAACTTCTAACAAAAGAACAATTACAGTATCATTGAGTTAAAACGTGTGTAAATTAGTCAATTAGAACTTTTTGTACTTCCCCCGCCCCAAGATTGATGATCTTATTTGTTTGAAGCATTGTCTTATCAGCAGACTGTTGTCTAGCCTTTTCATCAGCAGACCGTTGTCTAGCCTTTTCATGAAATCTAAAAGCTAGCAATGAAGCAAAATTACTTGGAATAGTGTTGGTCACCAGGAAAAATGCTTCACAGTCGAGTTGTTAAAGCCAAAACTAATGTGCATAGAGGGCATGAGTTTTATAGAAATTAGAACAGATAATAAGGCAAAGCTATGGTGAATGGTGTAGCCAATAGGAGAATGTGTGCCAGTTGCTCAATGTTGAGGTGAAGAACTTGTTATTTGTTTTTGTTTATATTACTCTTGTATTTCAATAGGTTTCTAAGTGAAATACGAGATTAATGGTACACTTATTTATTTTTATGACTAAGCAGTTTACTTTCAATTTCAATAGTTTAACAATATTTATAGACTTTGTTTATACGTCAGTTAACTCTCAACTATTATAATACATCATCTGTTATCACTGCTGTTATTCTATGCATTATTCTTTTCCTTTTTAGCATTTTTCAGAAAGATTTCTTTCTTTCTGATGGCTTGGAAAAGTTTTGTTTCATTCTGATGGTTTGGATTAGTCACTTCCTCCTCATCCTGGAATAAACAATCTTTTTTCTGGTAGGGCCTGGTCAGTCAGTTTTTCCAAACTTTGGAAAGCCTAAAATGATTTCAGGGAAGCCTTTTACTCTACTCTATCAATCGGTAGAACCATTGTAATTTGCAGTATTCTGTATTTGTCCAAGTCCCAAGCAGTGAAGTAGCATAGAATTTTTAATTCCATTCTTAGCAATGAGATTTATTGCATCAAAGATAGCAAATTACTTCTAGAAGTCAAAAATTTTCTTCTCTTCCAAGTAATAGTCTGATCAATTTTAAGGGGTGGGGAAATATTATACAGATAAACTGTGTATGGATTATCATGAGTGTATTGAACATTAAAAGAGCTTACAAAATTAAAAATGAAGATTTAATGTTTGGCACAATGAATTCAGGAACTAGTTAAGACTTCAAAACTTTTCATTTATATTCAGATTATTAAATGGAGATAACTGATACCCATCATTTACTATTTTATGTATGAAGTAAAGACAAGAACAAAATATTTTGAATCAACATATGTGCTATAGATCTTCATTTAATGTTTTCCTTCTTTCTTTATCTCTGTGGGGTTTATTTCTTAATTAATTTCAAGAAATACTAAATATAGTATATTTAATATGGTATTAAATTAGGCTCATGGTATAACATATTATAATAGTTACATGAATGAGTAGTGACTGAAGCTGTAAATACTTTAAGAAAAAAGTTGTTTTACAGGTAAAAATGGAGTTTGAATTAAAAAATTCTAATTTAAATAAAAAAAAATTTAAAAATCATGTTTTTTATGTAACCTGACTAGTAGTTTTTACGTGTTCATCTTATGCATTTTCAGTGAATGGGTAGAAGGCTGGCTTTTGTTTTCAGTGTGTATTTTATCTTAAAGAATTTAATTATTTCTTAGTTTAGTAGCTGCTGTGATTATTTTAGTTGAAGAAAGTATACAATATATGTATATAAATTTTCTGCATTATTGATTTCTTTTACATTGCATTTACAAGTATTCTAGCTTGATTTTGTTGTCATTAAAAATTAAAAACTTAATAAATGAATATTAGTTTCTTTTTTGCTGTAATATATTTTGCTGTTTTGTAACTGATAATTGTTTTCTCTACCATCTAGCTGAAATTTATACTGTGAAGGTTGTACCTACAGATGCTAGTTTACGAAACAATTTGAAAGGAGACTATAAGCTTATAATAACCTCTGTTAATCTCTCTGTTGCTGAGAGCTGTCCACTTGGAAGAATTGGAAAGATAATATTAACTTGGCCATACCGTCATATTCGCAGATATGGTTGCAGTGCTGATAATTTTTCATTTGAAGCTGGAAGAAAATGTGCTTCAGGTGAAGGATTGTTTACTTTCTCATCAGTTGATGGAATACATATATTTCAGAGTGTTGATGCTCATGTATCAGCTTTGAAGTCAACTCAAAGTGAAACTGACATTCCTACTAGTCCAAACTTTAATGATGAGGAATTCAGTTTTTTATCCACAAAAGATCATGATTTAGAGAAGAATGATTCTTCTTTACAGATGACACCTAAGTTTGATCAAAAATATGTAATGCCTGATTGTGAAAATGAAATACATTCTGCAGAAGTGCATAAGACTTTGCCTCCTGTTGCCAAACCACCCCGAAAAAGTAAATCAAGTGCAAATACTAGCAGTCGATCTAATTGTCAGATTGCAATGAACATTAGTGCACAAAATGAATCTAATGTTACTAATTTTTATGAAGAGCTTCATCTAAGGAATAGTCCAAATAATTTGAGTCTTAATTCAGATATTTTAGAGTCTCAAAATTCATCATCCAAATATTTTGACACCGAGTCTGTGTCCTCAGTATCATACGTTTCTTATCCAGAATCTTGCACTCATTTGGAAACTGATTCCTTTTCATCTGCTGCACCATATGAAGATGCTTTATGCCATAGTGCTGATAATTTAGAAGTCAGTGATAGTTGTAGGAAAGGCTCAGGTGTACAGCCTTCTTGCACTATAAATAATTATGAAAACTGTGAACCATTTCATCAAAATGCATTTTCATCGTCTAAGTCATTGAGTGATACTGATCATATTTATGGGAAGTTATTAAATACAAAACGATCTTCATTGAGCAATATGAATGCGTATGGTTCTATAATTATAAAAAATGTTTCTGCGAATAATGATCCGACTAGTCCTGTATATTCTAATGTTCCCTTAAGACAATTAATGCTTGATCACAGCCGTCATGGTACTAGTGAGAATGAACCAGAGCATTTCTTAAAAAATGATGCTGAATATGCCCAGGTTTTTAAGAAGAACTAATTTTAGTATTTTGTTGTTATTTTGCGAGTTAAGATGGACTAGCCTTCTTAGACAGACATGTTGCAGTTCTGTTTCCAGTTAAAGTATTTATATTTCTGTTGTGTAATTATATAATTTAAAATTCACTGTTATTTTATGTTAAAAATATTTATAATTCAGAAAATTTAACATTTTTTAGTTAAAAATAGAATTTTATGATAAGTAAGAATTGAGTTGATTAGTTCATAAATTTAAACATGAACATGTATTTTAAAGTATAACTCCAAAAAGTGTACACTGCACAGTCGCAAAGTTATCTTAATTCTTATTTTATATCTAGGTATTTGTTCTCGGATCACTGGCGTTCTTTCAGTGGGTTTATCTTTGTTATATGGCATACCTGTATGTTGTAATAATTCCTTTAAGATTTTATACTTTTTAAAAGTGTACCTAATGTATTAGTTATATATATATATATGGTATATATAGTCAGACCAATTTAATGAGATTTTATTGCTTTTAATATTTTTATCATAAAGAATGTAAGAATATTTAGTTAAAGTTAATAGTATAATTTTTTTTTATTTCATCACTTCATCTTAAAATTTTAGGAAATCAAACTATTAAAAAAGCAATTTAAAGTTATTAAGTTCACCTTTTCAGTATAGAACAGTAGCACATACTATGGCAAGCTTTTCTTCATACTCATTGACTGTTTAAGTTATTAATGGGTATATTTATTGCATTCTTAACTGTGTGTATAAATCTCAGTGTTATGAAACTAAATATACTCTGAGTTCTATTGCAAGATTTATTTGTTAGTGTGTATCCTTCAATTGTTCATAGGCTGTGGCTTATAAGTGAAGTGTTTGTGAGCTATAGCAGAATTTTCTCTAATGTATTTTTGTGTGTACAGGCCCCTGATAGGAGGGTGAGATAATTTGTGCTACCCTTTAGTTGCCACCAGGAGTGTCTCCTGTATCTGTAGGCCAAGAGAATGGTAATATTTGCTAATGAATATAGGCCTTAATAGCATTGAAAGAGTCAATGAAACTTTAGAAACTGGGTCATACAGTGCTCTGCTTAAAAAAATATATTCATTAATAGGTAAACTTTACCTAATCTTGTATTGTTTGTCACCTTTTAATAATTGTTAGTATGTATTTTTAGATGGTAGAAATCTGTGAATAAAAAGGTAGCAAACTCCTCATGAGATAGCTCGCAAAAACCATTCTGTAGCAAAGATACCCAATATGTAGTGTAGCAGTAAAAGTGTGTTATTAAATTAACTGTTGGGTATATTATATAGATAAATATTAGAACGATATATCTGCATTGTTTGTAATCAATGTTTATAGCAGTGGTAAGAGTAATGCTGCAGGGATTGCTAACTTGTCAGATCTTGAATGATTAATGGGCTAATAACATACATAACCTGATTTAAAAATATAAATATTAATTTATATATATTCCTAATATCAAAAATTTGATTTGTGATCTGTCAGTTTGATCTTTCTGTTTTAAATATTCTACATTGGCTACTAATTAAATTTGTTTCTTTGGTTATCTAAGGCTCCAAATCAGTCTTTGAGTAAAAGAGTAATAATTAAAAAAATAAGTATGGAACAACTGCAAATGTAATTTATATATCACCACACTCTTATATTTTCAAGTATGATATTTTTGCTTTGATATTCTAATAAATTCTGCTGATACAGTACTTTCAGAATGCATGTTTTGTGATGAGAAAGAAATTCAGAATAACATTTTAAAAAGTATGTACAAAAATTTAACTTTGCCATTTAGACTGTTTTCGACTGTGTTCTGTTTTTGACCAAAACAAAGATTTGGAAATTTTTAAAGTTTTAACACATGATGGATTTTTGAGTGCAGTTGAAGATAGTAAAATGTACATTCAAAGCAGAAACCTTACTTGATTAAAAATGTTTTAATTAATTTTTATTGTGTGCATATGCATTTAATGACATTATTCTTATCAGAAATAGGAAAGGTTTAAATGATTTAATTTCTGCAGAATATTTTATTAAAAAGAAAGGTTAGAAATTCCTTCTTCAGCTCTGTTTCCGGGTGCCATATGCATAAGATATTGTATATGTCAATGAGTTCATAGTAATATAGTTACTAAGAGAAATGTGATAAGAGTATTTCACATTATATATATTTTATCGTGCATACATGCATGCTTTTTAATTTTATCAAAATGAAGTATGTTACAGTGATGCAATTTTGAAGTTGGCGTTTTTAGGCTACTGTTGTATTGATTTTGTCATCTAGTAGCCATGTATGCATATTTTCTCAAAAAAATTTAATAGAGTTTGGTATTAGTGTTTTAAAAATAAGCATATTTTTCTAACTTTTATTGCATCATAATTTGTTCTTTGCTTTAATTTTAAAGCTGTTGTCTTGCTGCTGTAGAATTCATAAAAATATGCCAATATGCTGAAGTTAATGTGCACAAAAATTTATTGGCTTTTCATTAACTAATTGCTTCTGAGCTGTGATGTAAACTTTACTTAACATTTCTATTAATCTCATATTTTATATTTGTGCACATTAAACTCCTCTCATATTTTCTAAATAATGCCAACTTTTGCACAATATTTTCTGAGAGAAAAACATCTGAAACTGCATTGAAGTTAAATGTTTGAAATCTTTTTAAAATTTTTTCACCCATAATAACCTCTTACAGCTTCCTCTACAGTGGTCCCTAAAAAGTGTTAATTCTACTGAGATAACTTTAAAAAAGTTGGAATACTCAGTCGAATGAACTGATGTGAGATAACCTAATGCTCTTAAATAAATAAATATTTTTCAGAATACAAAGTAATTTTGATGAGGAGGTTTCCGAAATGTGCCTTTCTTTTTTTGCTTGTAATTAAAATTATGGATTGAGGAAAAATTGAATTTAAAAATAATTTTCAAAGTATTTAAGATTTATATGTTGCTTTTGAGAAAAAATATCTGTAAATAGTGCATTATATCTTGAAACTCTTGGTTGGAACTGTTTAAAAATTAGATGTTATTTATAATAACTGCTTGCTTGAATGACGTGATGGAGAAATTAACATTTAAGATATACTATACTTGGCAGCTCAGATACTTTTGAATAGTCAATAACAAGATTACAAAAAAGGAAAAAATTATTCAGCTATTACTTATTGTCAAAATGCAGAACTAAAATTTATGCTGGTATCCTTGTGTTTCAAATACCATAAAAATATCACAGCATTTTAAAACTTGTGTTCCTTTACATTAATAATGTGATTGATACATATGAAATATGTACAAAATATTTCAATTTATTTCATCATTTGGGTTAAGCCTTACTAAGAAAACATAAATTAAGATAAGCCTTATTATCTTAGCAAATTACTAAATCATAATTTGTTTCCACAGTTTTACTTCCTTTATTTCACTGCTACATTAGATATTATAGACACTAATGTATTTTTATGTAATCATTTAACTCTAAAATTTTAGATTACCTTGTGGAATTACTTTATTTTCTAAATATGTTTAATCATTAATGAGAGCTTTCTCTGGACAAGTTGCATCTGATTTGTACAGATAGTATTTTTGCCTTGTATGTAAATATGTGCAGATTTTATTCTGTAATATTTTATGAGCAGTATTAATGCTGTATTTTTTAAACCTTTAACAGAGAATTGTTATTGAAGAAATTTTTTCTGCATTCTATATTTTTTTACATGTATGTATTTTCATGTATATCTATGCCTCTATCTGCTGATTCAGTATCCATGATTTCACTAATATTCAGTTCAAAGATGGGAAGGCAATTGCCATAAATTTCATAAGTTTTCAGACCACGCTACTATCTTTACATAATTGGTCCAGGCTAATATAATTAAATACAGGGAACGAAGATGATTGTTATGAAACATTCGGTGTAATAGCAGTTTCTAGGTAGACCCTCAGTCTCTGAGCTTGCATTCCAGCTTGATGATCATAAATTTGTTTTGCCTATAAGTGGTCTAAGAGCTTTTGCCCTAACTTTATTTCTATACACATACTTCTTTTCAAACTTTCTCCACTGTTGCTTTTAATTCACGCTATCGTCATTAGTAATGTGTTGCTCATGCTATTGAAGTTCTTATTCAGTGTTTCAAAGCATGAGACTAGTGATATTTGTGCTTGGAAACTATAGTGTGCTAGGTAGAAAAATGAATGAGTACTTGTTATTTCTACCATTCCTTGAAGCAGTATGCTATGTTTTACAGTACAACATAACATATTATAACTACATTTCTTTTCTCATTTCTCTTTTGCAGATGGAATTAAAATGCCAGAATCTTTTATAAATATGAGCGAGAGTATACATTGTATTTTGCATTACTTTATATAGTATATGTAATGTATTATAGTGTACAGGATACTCTGTTATTACTTTATTTCATGATGAATGTCTTTCTTGCATAATTTATCAATTATTATTCATTATATTTATGCATGTTATAAGAATATGTCATCACTGTTATCTGTGGCTTTGCATACATGCTGTAAGTCTTTGAATGTATACTGCAAATAGGAAATACACACTATATTTTCCTTTACATGTCTTGTATGATGAGGATGGTGAAAGTGTGTTAACAATATATTTAAAGAATAGTTTTTTTTTTTTTTTTTCTGGAAAAGTATATATCGATTGTTGCTCAAGATAGCATTCCTATATTTTGTACTGATATTCCATTACTACACTATTTTTTAAAGATGTTTACCTTAAAATATTCTTTTGTATATAATTTAATTTGTCTAGTCGATCTCATGTTTTGTACTTGATATGCAATAGTCTCCTTTTGTATTTGTTATGTTAAATTTTAATAAATAGCAAATATAAAATATTTGTTTTGATGTTACTTAATTAAAAATCTAACTTAAAAATTTCCCTTTTCTGGTTTGGTGCAATTAATATACACCTTCTATCATTTCATTGTTTGGCAAGAGACTTGCTAAATTGGTTTTCCCTAGAAAGCAATAAATACTGAATAAAATTCTGTGTATCTATGCATTTCTCTGTTTGAAAGCATAAGTGATATATATTTTTGAAATGATAAAAGTATGCTTTCTTGCACTAAAAGAAGAGTAGTTTGAGGTTTTGGTATGTTTAGGTCTGTTAGCTGTAGTTTACATAATAAATTCTGAGTTCTTTCCTTATTAGTCATCTAAAAATAATGTAGCCACTTTCTTTTATGAATATATTTTATTGTGTAATGAAAACCATGGATAAAAATTAAAATTTTTAATATGAAAATGTTGATTGATACAGTCAAGTTTAGAAACAGTTTCAATTTCAGATTTTCATTTTTGGTTTAAGAAAGAAATGAAAATAAATCATGGCTGCAAATATTTATTTCCATTACAGGAGAAATGTGCACTGTTATTTCTCTCACTTTCTTTGACAAAGCAAATTTGATGAATTTTACGGTCATATGAACCATAAATTAAGCTTCCTGTATTAGCATGCCATGCTTCATTTGGTATGGTGGTTAACAGAAATTATCCAAAACTGGACAGTTACCAGTCCAAAACTGATGGTGTAGACTTAACTCCTCCATATGTCTTTTTACTAGAAGGTTGGTGTAATACTGACTGTACTATATCAGTGAAATACCTAAATGACTGATGAGTTTTATCAACATTTCCAGTCAATGTCTAATATGCAAGTGCTTGGTGACAAAGGAAATAAAAAAAAATTAACATACATTACTCAACTGTGTGTGAATTGTAAACCCAAATGTGCTAAAAATCACAAATAGACATAATCATGCCTTTGAATAAAAAATCAAAATTGTAGCAATATTTTTGCTATGGTTATTTATGAATATTTATTTGTTTAATTTCTGAATCAGTACTAGTAATTAGGTCTTGTAATAATACACATTTTGATAATTTCCTTTGCTTTCAATGTTATCTTATAATTTTATATACTTATAGAGAAATTTTAATTAATGAGAAAGTATTACAGTTGTTTAAGATTTATTTTAAAGAAATGAATTAAATTTATATTAAATTTTTATGATAATTGTAGATGTTAGCAGTATAAATTTATCCCCCCCTACCAATGGTGGGCTCTAGCCGTTTATGGGCATTGGCCACTGCTAAGGCGAGATGCGGTGGCCACTTTATTTTGATTTATTATGGAGGCACCTAAGAGTTGGTCCACCACTATGAAGGGATAGACAAATTATATTCATGCCTTCTCTGGGATTCGAAAGCGGAACTTTCAGTATGGCAGTTAGTCACTAACCACTTTCCTATTTGCATGGCTTTAAAAGTAATATGAATATGAAATAATCATGCAAATTTCTGGAAAAGTAATGTAGTACAATTACACGAAGTATTCAAAAACAAGCACTATAAGACTGTATTTCTTTTATTACTGGACTGTGACTCGTACTTCTAATTCTTAAAACAGAGCTTAACAAAAACACTTTTAGCTATGTGGTAGGAGGATTTTACAAGTAAAAAATTTAGCTCTTTATATAAGTCTTGTAAAGTGTAAAGTCTAGTTACCAAAATGATCATTATGCTTTGATAATTTAAAAAGTCTTATCTTTTTTTAAGTGAAATATTTGCTCCCTTTTTATTCATTAATAGTTCCACGGAGGAAACTAAAAAAATTTTAACTATTTTTTTTTTGTGTGCGTACAGAACCATTATTTGTGAGGTAACTAACTTTTGCATGGTAGTTATGCCTGAAATCTGCTTAATAGCCCGTAGAAATACGCATATGTTGATAAATTTGTTCTCAAATATGTATATTGCACAAAAAATATTAAAGGATAACTTGGGAAATGGTTCTTAATTGCTGATTAAAAATTCTCTGAAGGTAAGTGTGTAGTTTAATTTAAAAATGCCAAAGATGACATATATCTGTCACTCTTAATGATGACAGATTTGTAGATAGGAGATGGTTCTACATCGTTTGCCAGAAAAGTTCCAGGACAATTTTTTTAAAAAAAATTTCTGAGTTTGCAGTTCTAAAAAGGAACAAACATTGTTTTTACGTTACCTGGTATGTGTTCTTACTTGACATGACCATGGCGATGTTTTCACGAACACTTAGTAGGTAGTAGAGCTGTGCTTAGGAACACACTATTCGTATTGTCGCATTCATTAAGGCAACACAATGGATGCTGATTGTGGACAAAGTGTGAACATTAAGGTCTGTGTTGAGCTCGGGAAAATCCTTAGTGAAACATGGAACATGATCAACCAAGCATATGCAGGCCAGACACTTTCAAGAAGTTGTGTTTTCGAGTGGCACAAAAGGTTTTGTGAAGGCCGAGATTCAGTGCAAAAGACGATCCCAAAGCTGTTCACCCGTTTATAGCACATATCGATGCAAACATGGAGTGTGTAAGGTAGTTATTACAAGAAGACTGTTGTGTAACTGTGTGTATGATATCAGAACTAAATTTGAATTGTGGTGTGTGTCATAAACTTTTACGCAAATATTTAAGGAAATGGAAACTTAATGCAAGAATCGTCTCACTCTTTAACGAATGAACAGAAAGAGGAAAGCTAAAGAACTTCTGCTAAACTATTGGATAGAACTAGATGGGATCCCACATTTGTGTCAAAAATTATTGTGATTTTTTTCTTGTTTCCATGAGTGAAAAGGTGACTAAAAGGAAAACTTCATCAAGACATCCTCCTTACAATCATCCAACAGGCTGTGACAGATGAGCATGCAAGCATCGCAGTTGAAGACCTCCAGAAACGCTGGCAGTTGTGTATTGATATCCAAGGAGACTACTTTGATAGCAGCTAGGATTATTACTTAGTAACTGCAATTTTCCATTTTTTACGACCTTCGTACACAAACGTATCTGACAAAGGATGTATATATTCTAGCTGTAAATTTCAGTTACGAAGCTTTACTCATGTAAAACACAGAGCACTTGTATCTTCAATGTAGAATAATTATTTTTTATGGCAACAGTCTCTCGGGAGAATTTTTTGTTATGTTTTAGGATTCAAAATGTGTAGAACAAACATGTCATCCTTAATCATATGAATTTGAAATTTTCTTAAGTTTTATTATTCTTAAGTTCTTATTAGAGTTTGATTTGATTTGATTCGATAAAAGAAGAGCTTCTTTTTGAAATGTCTGGCTTTGAAGGACTGATCGATTATTTGTGGGTAAATACCATTTTATTTTTTTACTCCCTTCTATGAAGTAAAAGAAGTATTGTAATCACGAAAAATTCCGAGTGCCATATTTCAAAAAAACATCCATTTTGATAGCTATCGAATGCAATTTAACGATTTTTTTGCGTGACATCTGTACATGAGGACAGAATAAAGGACTCTTTCCCTCCAAACGAATTATAAAACTGATTTAAAATGGATTCAAAAGAGATTTTTTTTGTGGCATCTGTGCTTATGTACGTATTTCGCATAACTCAAAAACGAGTAGCCTGAGACTTGAAATTTTGTAAATGGGACTGCTATAACATGTAGATGCACACCTCCCTTTTTGGATGCAATCGGCTGCACCATAAGTATATAAATATATGTATATATATCCACTCTGTTTGTAAATTGTGTATTTTTTGGTTTGAAAATAATTGAATTATTTTGTTCTTATCTTACAGTTAAGGGTTTTATGCTTTTAGTTAGATTGCATGTTACAGTTGTAAAATTATCAACAGTTGAAAAGTTGTTTAAGTGCGGCTAAGCCTAATTTTTGTTTACCATAGCTGCCATATTTGTTTACATTTGAAACTTAGCACAATAGTGGATTTGTTGCCAATCTACAGAACCTAGCTTCACAACAACAAAGTAACATCTTTTATTATTGCGAATTAAATTATTCTTAATCCATTCTGGAATTATCATTTAAGTTGTTAAATTATCCCATATATTGACTCAGCATAGCATCCGCAACAGATCAGTTTCTACGCCTTCATTGTCTTTTTTGTAGAGTGAGACCAAAAGTAAACCTTCAGTTTTGTGCACTGAAAAATTTGTCTTCTTTTTGGCCGAATTGCTTGTTTTTTCGTAGAAACTAATTTTAATTAAAAAATTTTTTTAATTGTATTTGGTGTTTTATGTTTTTCTATAGCTATAAATTTTTAATGAAGATGTTTTGTGTTTTTATGTATTTTTGCTTTGCCGAAAGGTGAGAACTGAATTAATTGAATGAGAAATACATCTCTAATAAAATTCGAGGAAATAAGTGTTTCATATTAGCAGAAAATATTGTCGCCAGTCTGTTTCGGATAGAGGAGTATGGTTACGAGTAGTGCATGTGCATTAGGTAAGCAGCGTTGAATCACCTGTGAAAAACTGTTTATTTTTTTATTTAATTTCTTTTATACATCGTTGTAGATTTATTATAGTATTCGAATAGAACGTGTGACAACTTTTAGATAATTCGTTATATATGGATTAGATATTCGTTATATTCGATTAGATGATATAATGTTTGCATTCTGAGTTATAAAATGATTGAGACGTAACGCTGTTAAGTGAACCTAGTGCTATGGTAAATAAGTACAGCGAATTTTAAAAAGCGCATTTATTCTATCGTGGTTTATGCGCTATCGATGGGAAGATGTCATAAATAAAGAATTTGATGAGACTGAAATTAATACTGATAAATATAGAATTTGATGAGTGAAATTAATACTGATAAATGGAGAGTATCAGAATCGAAGCTTTCAGCCCTTTTAATTTATGTAGATCGTAAATCTGCTATTCCCGTAAATAGTGTTTCTAAAAACATGTTCTTCCCTATCCTAAGCTAACATTGCTATTATTATCTGACGGTAATACTAAAGACTGATTTGGGTTTTGGAGGCAATTTAAGATTGCTAGTGATCCAAGTTTAGAC